CACTGACTCCACCTTGACCGGATCAACAACAATCCCCTCAGTAGAAATCACGTGGCCCAATAACTTCACCTCATCCAACCAGAACTCACATTTTGAAAGCTTAGCATACAGCTGGTTCGCTTTCAAAATCTCCAATACTGTCCTCAAGTGCTCACCGTGTTCTTCCCGGGTCCTTGAGTAAATCAAGATGTCATCAATGAATACCACAACAAACTTATCTAAGAACAGCCGGAAGATCCTGTTCATGTAGTCCATCAACACTGCAGGGGCGTTAGTCACACCGAACGACATCACAACATACTCATAGTGACCATACCTAGTCCTGAAAGCAGTCTTTGGTATGTCACCCTCCTTCACCCTGATCTGGTGATAGCCTGACCTCAAGTCAATCTTGGAAAACACTGATGCTCCCGTCAGTTGATCCATTAAGTCATCTATCCGGGGAAGTGGATATTTGTTCTTAATGGTCAACTTGTTCATTTGCTGGTAATCAACACACAGTCGACTACCTCCATCCTTCTTCCTTACTAATAACACCGGAGCACCCCACGGCAAAACACTCGGTCGCACCAATTGCTTTTCCAACAAGTCCTCCAACTGACCCTTCAGCTCAACCAGCTCAGCAGGAGCCATCTGATAGGGAGCCACCGACACTGGCCCCGCACCTAGAACCAAGTCAATGCTGAACTCCAGCTCCCTAACAGGAGGCAACCCTGGCACCTCATCAAGAAATACCTCAGCAAAGTCTCTCACCACCTCAATATCATCTAAGACCCTCTCGGTCTCCACACTCATGGTAGCAAGCAGAAGACAGCACTCTGCTCCATCTCTCAGCAAGGACTCAGCCTGGCCAGCTGAGATCAACAGCTCATTCTCCTCCTGAGGGAAAATCAACCTCCTATTGGCACAATCTATAAGAATGCGATTAGCAGACAACCAATCCATCCCTAAGATTATGTCAATATCCACCAAAGGTAAACAAATCAAGTTCACCTTGTACTTCTTCTCATTCACCTCAATCAAGCAACCAACACACAATTCAGAAGTAATCACAGAAGCAGAAGCGGGCATAGACACTAGCAGTCTCAACCCCATATCACACACCGGTATACCCAGCATAGCAGCACATGCATAAGATATAAAGGAATGCATAGCACCAGAGTCAAAGAGAATTATCACATCCTTACCAGCAGCTTTGCCCTTCCCCTTCACAAGATCAGAAAAATTCGAAGCCTCAGCACCTGTCAAGGCAAATACCCTACCAGTAGTAGTGAGTCTCTCACCCCTCTGTGTGTCAGCTCTCTGTGCGCTACTCCTCTGAGTATCAGCCCTCTACACATCACTCCTCTGAGTACTCCTCTCTGGTCTGCCTCTAGCAGGGCAGTTGGTGGACTCGTTGCCCATCTGATGACATCTGAAGCAACGACTCTCCGTGTATGGACAGTCCCTAATAAAGTGTGGCCCAGCACACCTGTAACATCTCAGAGTGGCACCTCCACTCTGTCTACCTCCACTAGCAGTACTGGAAGATTGCCTACTACCAGAGCCCCCTTGCTGTGATTGGGGTCTATCATACAACTTCCTCTGACTCTCGCCCCTCTTGGACCCATATGGCCCACCAGCAGTCCTCATAACCCGGTTGCCACCCTCCAACCATTCCACCACCTTTGCCTTCTCCACTAAGGCCGAAAACTCAGTGATGGCCATAGGCACCACCACCCTCTTTAGTTCATATCTCAAACCATCAATAAACTTCCTGCATTTCCAGGCCTCAGTTATATCATATAACCGTCGCAAAATCGTCATTTTCTTGTAGTGCAAGCCCTATTCCTAGGGAATTTGGTAGAAAGTAAAGAAATTGTCTGCTTAGAAAAGCCAATCTAATGGGTCAAATCCATCAAATGTATTAAGTTGAAGTTTGGGATAATGAATTTGGGGATTTGGAGGGGTAGGTGGGGGTGGGAGGTAAGTTTTGAAAGGTAAGGGATTGAAGTGGTTTTGATCAAGTTACGAGTAAGGCCATATGGAAATCTATTCGAGGTGGAGGGGGTCGACTTAAGGGTGTTAGTGGTGAAAAGGGAAGTTGCAATGGTATTTGGGAAGTGGGGGAACCAGGAGAATGCTTTGATCTAGGACAAGTGGTTCATTTGTTAAAAATGGTAAGTTGGTCAAGTACCCCTTTCATGGTAGATTGGCAGGTTTTATGATGCTCATCTTGGATGGATTCATGATTGTCAAGGTGTGTTTGGATGCACTGGAATTTATGGATGAAAGGTTTGATCGTCTCTTCTATGTGGGAGGAGGGAGTAGCTTTCGGAGACATTAGGGTAAGCTTATGAAAGCACCAAAATGTTAGGCTAAGATATAAGTTAGACTAAACTAAAAGGCAAAACTAAAATATTTCTTTTCATATATAACATGGAGAATTATAATTCCCTTATAAGGGTGAACAAACATAACAACAAAAGAAATTCAACCCTTCTCGTGGGTTTATGAACAATAAAATAACTAATAGTCATATGCTCTAATATAAGTAATAATATTTTAACAACTTGGTTTGCTCTATTATACACTTAGGCCTCACATAGAGCTGGTATCATCATGAATATCAAATTTCACATGATTTCAAAATTATTTAGTAGTTTATCACATTACTTTATTTTAACATATAATATGATATTTAAAATATGTGTGAATATCTATTTTTGAATAACATATCTAGAAATATTCAAATCATATAAATTTGATATACAAGATATTGAGTATGATATCACATAATTTAACAATTGGATCTATTAAATTTTCATCATACAAAACATAATCAAAGGTATAAAATTTGGTGTAAGTTTTTAGACTTGTACCTGCTATCAACAGATCCTGATTCTCTTTATATGTGTGTGTATATGTGTTTATATCATGATTCTAAATTTCAATTGTAGTTGTGATCATTGCGATGCAGATTGTAATTGTTGTGATGTGAAATTATTATATATTTGCATCAAACAGAAATGTAATTCTATAATAATAAAAGCAGTATGAAACCTTCGTATTCTTCTTCTTTATTACAATTTTTCACTCTACACTCCTTTTTCTCTTTCGTAAGAAACATCACGCAACTTCCTAACACTTTAACCAATCATAATTAGTTGTCTTCCTCCCTCTCCTAATATCCCACACATGATCACTATTATTAGAGTAGAAGATTAAAGCTTAAATAACAACATTAATAATTTTACTTAGCCAATAGATAATTCACTAAGCGAAATTCCAAATATGATGAGGTGTTTTGGAGAACATTCATTTGGCAAGGAGGAGATTCAGTAAGTGAATTTAAACGTCTATCTAAAAATTTGCTTGGTAAAGCAAAACCGGAGAGAACCTCACTTTTTAAATCATGGACTTTTAGCTAAGTGAGAGGTTGCTTCATTTAGTAAAAGAGATATGAAAAATAAGATATATGTACGACATATATTTAGAAGTGTATAAAAATTCATAAGTCATAATACATAACAAATATATGATATAAGGTATATTATATAAACTTCTTTTTATAAGTACCGAAGAAAATAGAAAAGAAAAATAAAAATTAATTTTTTCATAAATAAAAATTATTTTATACGCAAATTTAAAAAATAGAGAAGTTCTAATAACTTCTATAATTTAGTTATTTTATCCATGAACTAGTTTTATCTTTTGAGAAAACTTACTTTATTTTTCTTCATATTTTCTTTTCTTACAAGTGTTTATGGAGATGTTTATGGAAACAACTACTTAATTATCTAAATTCAAATATGAAGCATTAGTAAGAATAAAACAAAAATATGAATTTAAACGTCTATCTAAAAATTTGCTTGGTGAGACCGAATTGGAGAGAACCTCACTTTTTAAATCATGGACTTTTAGCTAAGTGAAAGGTTGCTTCATTTAATAAAAGAGATATGAAAAATAAGATATATGTACGATTATATATTTGGATGTGTTTAAAAATTCATAAGTCACAAGACATAACAAATATATGATTTAAGGTGTGTTATATAAATTTCTTTTTATAAACACTTATAAAAGAAGAAAATAGAAAAGAAAAATAAAAACAATTTTTTCATAAGTAAAAATTAGTTTTATACGCAAGTTTAAAAAAATAGAGAAGTTATAATAACTTCTGTAATTTAATTATTTTATGGATGAACTAGTTTTATCTTTTGAGAAAACTTATTTTATTTTTCTTCATATTTTCTTCTTTTACAAGTGTTTATGAAGATGTTTATGGAAACAACTACTTAGTTATCTAAATTCAAATCTGAAACATTAGTAAGAATAAAACAAAAATTTGTCATAATAATCACATTCTATTGTTTATAGATAGGAATAATATCAATCTTATTTTCCAAAGTGGTGAGATATAATGAATTTTTAAGTATAAGTTTGATTTTATTGATCAAAAGGAGATATTAGACATTTTCTTGTGGAAGAATTTATAAATAGGGTATAATCTTTTATTGGGAAAATATGATTCAACTAACTTATGAAGGTGAGTCAAGATCATAATATTTAGCGTAATGTATTAAACTTTTGAGTTGCATCATGCTTGAAGTTCCTGATGCTTCTTGTGCTCTTAACCATTTGGGTTCTTCAAGTATATATACTAAGGAAGAATCGAAATGTGGTACATGAATTATTAACAAATTAATGCTGGTCAAATTATTACATTTTTGTTTGTGAGATATAGTAATTTTTTTTTACATTAATTGGGTGAATATTATAAGGCTAGTGTTCTTCCGTAAACTTGTTGATCAAGTCAAACTATGCATTATTAAGCAATTTTATAAAAGAATCATTTTATTTTTGTAGAAATATGTTTACTGGTAATCGTCGAAATGGATTTTTTGCTGGTGTGATTTTTGAGATAATCATGAGACCTTGTGTATATAACATGTGTTATAGTATGCTACATTTACTGGCTCAATTTATAATTAAATTCAGAATTTTTATAATTTGTCTAGGCTGAGTCCAAGTGTTCTACTCCAACATTGCAGTGAGAGGAGATTGACGACAGAGTTGGTGATGTTAAACAAAGTGGCTTACTTTTACTATGTTTGTTTGTGTTAAAAAGAACAAAAATAATTAAGTGTGTCGGTCTACCCAGTTGATGATGAAATACATTGTTCTATTCTATATATTATGCAAAGAGTGTAATTATAATGATAAATGGTCATGAAAAACAAAGATAATGAAGTGTGTGTTTGTTTTGTAATTGGCAAACTTTCTTATGCACATTCAAATCGTCTTGTGTCTTTGAATTTAATTGGCATACACATGATGCAGTGATAAATTGTACCATTAAGTATTGACTGGATTGTTTGTGTGTTGTAAGTTATATGACTTATTTCTGTTCTATCCTTTTACCCTCAATTTTAGTTATATTTCAATTTTAAACATAAATTGAATAATTTATGCATCTCATATACATGATAAATTGAACAATTTATGCATCTCATATGATTAAAATATAGGAAGTGTTTCACAATAAAAAAGTTTGTTTATATTTAAGAATTACGATCAATGAGAATTAATCTTACAAATCATAATATTTGAAAAGGTAAAATTTATTTAGTTGCTTATAAAATTTCTTAGAAATATTTATATAAATTTTTGCAAGAATTAAAAATCTTCACGTATAATTATAATAATACTTTTTTAGGCATATAAATGTTATTTTAAAAAGATTTTTTTTATTAAAATAACCTTATTACTCGTTAAATATATTTATTTATTCAAATCTTAATTAAAAATATGACATTCAACTTTCTTTTATAATCTAATCTACTTTAACGGTAATAAAAAACTAATTACATACATAAAAAATTTATATATATATATATATATATAATAATATTTATATTTGATAAAATTTAAATTATTTTAAAAAAATTGATAACTTATAATTAAAATTATTTAAATAAAAATTTCAATAAAAGAAATAAATAAAGAAAATTATAACTTGATAATATGGATAAATTGTGTTATTTCATTTCATTCAAATGAATAAAAAATGTTAATAAATATCAATAAATTAGAAAAAAAAAATACAAACTCAACTATGGTTAAAATATATTTTTAATCTCTATAATTTTATTTAATTTATCTTTTAATCTTTATATTGTAAAATGGATATTTTTTTTGTCAATATGTTTATCTTTACTAATTCTTTTTAGTCTCTATAGTTTAATATATATTTTTTAGTTTCTATACTTATCTTTTTAAATTCTTTTTAGTTCATGTCATTATTTTTTTTTTTTAATGTCATCTCTTTTTGTGTTAACATGATAAAGGCCTTCACTTTTGTGAGGGTAAAAAAAAGGTGCCCTAATTAAAAGAATCACAAAAAAAAAGTAAAAAAAAAAAAAAAAGACACAAAGTATCAAGGGACCTAATTTAAAATAAATCTAGCAAAGTAAATTCAATATCAAAAACACAAAGTTGAGTACTTTTGCTATATAAACACAAAAAAGACAATGTTACAATAAATTAATGACAAGAACTAAAAGGATTAAAAAATTATAAGTATATGGACTAAAACAACTATTTTAAATTATAGGAACTAAAATGTAAAGTAAGTTAAATTATTAGGACTGAAAAAATATTTTCACCTAATGTCATTAAACTTCACAAGGTCAAAAAATAATGACACATAAGATATAGAGTGAATGGGGGGAGAGAGAGAGAAAGAAAGAAAGAAAAAAAGGAAAAAAGAGGGAGAGAAGGGGAGAAAAGGATATTGTGGAGGAACAATGGAAATTGAATATTTCGGAATAAAGATGAACCTCCACTATATATTTTTGTTTTAAAAAATCATATTGTGGCTTTTTATATTATTAAATATTTCTTCTAAGTTTGGATAGTTAGATTCTCAATCCCCATGAAAATGAATTTGTAAGAATTGGGATAAAATTGCTTCCTAAAAAATATCTCCTTTGAACTTGTGGAATAACATATGCACAAAATTTTGATGATGTCAAATCATTGTAAAAAATAAAAGGTCAAGATAAAACAAGTTGATCAAGAAGCAAGATTTCAAGAAATAACTAGATAAGTCTTGACTACTTAGCTCAATATGTAAAATGAATTTTTAGAAATTGCAAATTTCACTTGACCATTATAATAAGGATTTCAAATCATAAATTTTTCAAAAGCAAATTGTTATATCTATTTGGTAATCGATTACCACTCTAAGTAACCGATTACTAGAAGAAGAAAACTTCTAAGTTCAAAATTCAAATGTTGAAAGGTGTTCTGGTAATCGATTACCAATCCTTGTAATCGATTACCAGAAGAGGGAACTTCAAAAATTTGAATTTAAAAAATACGTTTCAAATTTTTTGAACTTAAAAACCATTGTAATTGATTACCAAGCCTTGTAATTGATTACTAGAGAAAATTTTCTAAAAAATTATAAAGAGTTACAACTCTTCATGAAAAAACATAACCTAAGAAACAATTGTCTATAAATACCTATAATTTTTCAGAAGAATGTTTCGAACTCTACAAACTCTATTGTGAAAAACATATTTACAAAACTTCTTGGCCATGTTAAATTTCATAATTATCTAAAGAGTTCATTAAGATCATAAAAGTGTAATATCTACTCTTCAAAGAGAATCATTCTATAATACCCACTTGATTATTTGATCTATAAAGGATAAAGGGTTTTTCTCCTTGTTGGTTTTTGAATATCAACAAAAGGAAAGGGAGTTCCAAGGTGTTGGAGGATTCAAGTCTTGTAAAAGTTACAAGAATAGTGGAAATCTCAAGTTGGAGACTTGAGGACTGGACGTAGGCAGGATTGGCCGAACCAGTATAAAACTTTCCCTACACTTTTTAATTACTTGTTATTTAATTGTGATTGAGTAAATTTTTTTATCATTACATACATTTTGCTTTAGAAAATAAATCTTTAGAAGGCATCTTTAAAAATTCATAAAAGTTAAAAAATTGGATAACTCAATTCACCCCCCCCTCTTAAGTTATACGAGGCTAAGTGACTAATAAGTGGTATCAAGAGCAAGTTTCTTATATAAGGCTTAAAAGGTTCAAGATAATTGAAATGACCTCATCAAATTTTTTATTTCCCGAAGGAAACTCTATTAATAGACCTCCTATATTCATTGGTGAAGGGTATCATTATTGAAAATCTAGAATGCAAATTTTTATAGAACCCATAGACTTAAACATATGGGATTCTTTTGAAAATGGTCCTTTTCATTCCCACTATTGTAGTAGGAAATGAAATTAAAAATTTACCCAAAGATCAATGGAGCGATGATGACAAAAGAAAAGTCCAATACAATTTGAAAGCCAAAAATATAATTACTTATGCATTAGGCATAAATGAATATTTTAGAATTTCAAATTGTACAAGTGCAAAAAAAATGTGGGATACATTAAAAGTAACACTTGAAGGCACTAATGATGTTAAAAGATCTAGAAGAAACACTCTCACTCATGAATATGAATTATTTAGAATGAATCAAAATGAAAGCATACAAGACATGCAAAAGAGATTTACACATACAATTAATCATCTTGCATTTCTACGAAAAGTGTTTCCAAACGAAGATCTTATTAACAAAGTTTTGAGATGTTTGAGTTGGGAATGACAACCGAAAGTGACTACAATTGTTGAATCAAAAGATCTAACAACCATGTCTCTTGCCTCACTATTCAGAAAACTTCAAGAGTATGAAATGGAATTGATGAGACTAAGTTAAAATGGAGACAGTGACAAAAAGAAGAAAAGTATAGCACTTAAAGCATCTTCATCTTCTCATGAAGAAAATGAAAAAGATGACAACATTGAGGAAGATGATGATGAATATTTCAATCTCTTTGTAAAAAGATTCAATAAATTCCTAAGGAATAAAGGAAATAAAAGAAAATTCAACTTCAACATAAAGAAGAAAGAAGAAGAATCTTCTTCAGCCCCAAAATGCTATGAGTGAAATCAATCGGGACATTTGAGATTAGAATGTCCAATCTATAAAAGAAAAATGGAAAAATCCAAAAAGAAAAGCTTCAAAGAAAAGCAAGGGAAGAAAGCTTATATCACTTGGGAAGAAAATGACATGGATTCTACAAGTGACTCTAAAAATGAAGTTGTAAATTTGGGACTCATGGCAAAAGATTACAAAAGAGAAGAAGAGGTGACATCTTTTAACAATGATATCTCAATTTCATTTGATGAACTTCAAGATGCATTCAATGATTTGCATAAAGAATCCTTTAAACTTGCAAAATTAGTATCATCATATAAGAAAACAATTTCAAAATTGGAAGAAGAGATTTTGAAATTAAATAATGAGTTAGATGATCTTAAAACCGAAATTAGGATAATAAATTCTAAAGAAGAAAATAAAGAGATTAAAAATAAGTTAGAAACAAATAAAATAAATCTTCTATGTTCAACATGCAATAGATTTAAAGAGGAAATTAGTAACCTAAGAAACACTCTTGCAAAATTTACTAGTGGAAGAAATAATTTAGATATAATATTAGGAAAATAAAAATGTGTATTTGATAAGGAAGGATTAGGATATAATTCTCAAAAACAATAAAAGAAATACAAAAATTTCTTTATTCACACACAAGCTACTAGTTTTTCATTCACAACATGTTTTTATTGTGGTAAGAAATGTCATAATTCATCAACATGTTATATTAGAAAGAATTTTAGCAATCTCAAGAATATGGTTTGGATTCCTAAAGGTTCTTCTGTTAATACTAACATTAAGGACCCAAAGAAAACTTGGGTACCTAAATCAACCCTTTCTTGGTCTTGAAGGATTCCAAAAATCAAACTTGGTATATTGATAGTGAATGTTCCAAGAACATGATAGGAAATGCTTCAAAATTCATTGACCTCACTCTTAAGAGAAGTGGACATGTAACCTATGGAGACAACAACCAAGGAAAAATACTTAGCATTGGAAAAATTGGTACAAATTTCTCAACCTTCATAGAAAATGTCTTACTTGTGAATGGTCTTAAACATAGTTTATTAAGTGTTAGCCAACTTTGTGATAAAGGTTTTTCTGTATCATTTGACTCACAAAAATGTCTAATTGAACACAAAAATAATAAAAATGTTAAGATAGTTGGATTTAGAGTTAACAATGTATATAAAATAAAAATAGAAAATAATCCTAATCATTCTCAATGCCTCATGAGTAAAAATGATGAATCATGACTTGGCATAAAAGAATTTCTTACATAAACATGGAACACCTAAATAAATTAATCTCAAAAGATTTAGTAATAGGTTTACCAAAAATTAAATTTAAGAAAAATAAACTATGTGATTCATGCCAAAAGGGAAAACAAGTTAAAGTCTCTTTCAAACCAAAGAATA